ACAAAAGGAATTTTCCTACTCTCTACAACAGCAGAAAGCCTGAAGGGGCTGGGACAGCCTCATTCAGCAAGGCCGGACAGAGACGCCCTGCTAGTGGGGAGCTGAAGGGACGGACCCCCAGCATCTCCATGTCTCAGAGGGACAGCTCTTCGCAGGGGATGATCCGACCTGCATCAGCCTCACCTGAAGAGGCTGGGGACAGCAGCCTCACGTGCCATCGCCGGCCAAGCACAGCTCCCACAGGAAGACATTTGGCATTCTGGCAACAGCCCTTGAAGAATAATTAATCCCAACAGGAAGGCCTGGGGAGAGGTTAACAGCTTCTAGCTCAGTGTGGGTTTTGCTGCGAGCGCAACGATAGCAGCAAGAATCTACAAACCGCCTGCCAACGTGTCTGTACATAAGAAAAGAGGCTCTGGCTATAGAGCAAGCCTCAAGTGAGAAAAAACATATGGTTAGGACACAAACAGACTGTGGCAAAAAGCCAGCAGCCTTGTAGCAGAGACCGGACTCCGCAAGTCACCAGAACACTGCCCAGGAAGCAAAGCCCACGGTTTCTGCGTGCTGCCCTCCGACCGCGCAGGAGACCGTTTCAAGGGTCCGTGGGGAAGCAGCGGTCCCACGTCCCTGCGCGGTCGCAGCCGTGCTCGGCGGGCTGGCCGGTAACGGCACCAGGGGTGACCCCCCCAGCACAGCCCCTGCCGCGGGGAGGAGGAGAGCTCAGCAGCGCCGCGGGGGTGGTTTGCAGCCATGGAGGCAAACGCTTCCGCGCCCAACCTACGCTTCAACCGTGCGATGCCTGCTGCAGGGCGATGGCAAGGTACAAAACCATCCTGGGATGCTTCTACCTGCTTTTGCACACTGCCGAGGACACCCAGAGCTATAAACGACACTGGCAAATTCTCACAAGGCTCTTAGATGCTCTTGTTTCGGGATTTGCACGCCAGCCCAATGATCAGAGCAGTGCGAGGCACACGATGGTTATGCTGGTAACTACTGGGTGTCTGCACCTTCCCATGAGCCCTTAGGGTGGGGACGTGACAGAAACACGACCCCCGACAAGGCCGCAAGTACCCTCCTGGCAGCACCTGCGCTGCCTTTGTGCTGTGAAGTCAACCTCATGACAGCAGTGACAGCCGTGCCTCTCGGCAGGCAGGAGCCCTGGTGCTCTCCAGCCACAGGCGGCCGTGCAGAGGTTTCAGGCCTGAATCGCTCTCACACATCCCTCTTTTCCCCAGCACAGTCCTGGGAGAAAACAAACCCTGGCAGAAAGGAGGGCAGCCCCCTCCTCCCCAGTTTACTCCAGCGCCTCAGGTCAGCTAAACAGGAAAGGAGTGCTGGGAACCCCCAGCTGCTTCCTGACACGTCCGGCCAAGTTCGTTCTCTGCCGTTAAACTAACAGCAGCTATTTCCTGCCCCACTGAGGGCCCAGACACCTCTGTGGGGCAGCGCATCGCCCTGCCTCTCTGCAGGACTCCCAGAGAAAACCACCAACAGCCCCCTACGAGAACAAAGTGAAAAGTACCTGGGCGAAAAGCTAACAAGAGGAACAAGATAACGCCTACATGGAAAGCGGGATAAAAGGCACAGGGAAAGGGAGAAATTTCTCCACAGTCGAGGGAGGGTGGCAGGTCGTACCTGTGGGGGGGGATGCAGGGCACAGAAACCACGGGCGCTGCGGCTCGTTTCTCTGCCAGGATCTTCCGCGCCTTCTTCATCTTGATCCTAGACTTGGCCTTTGCTTTTTTGACTTTCTCAGAGCTCCAGCCCTTCCCTTCCTCCTCCTCCTCCTCGTCCTCCTCTTCCCCCTCGCTGTGCGAGAGGGCGGGAAGCCTGCGCACAGAGCCCGGCGGCGTGTGGATGTCACAGTAGGCGGTTTTGCGTACGCTGAAGGAGGTACCGTTGGCCCCCGTCTCCCGGACGGGCTCCATCTTCATGTACAGCCCGGCCTGCTGGGCGCAGGTGACGTGGAAGGCGGTGTAGCAGTTGGCTTTGTGACACTGGATGCAAGCCCCGGAGCCACGCTGCTTGCAAATGTAACAGGTCAGCTTCCAGCGCGCTGGCGGGATGTGCTCGATGCTGTCGATGGGCTCCAGGAAGACGGTGTTGGCAAAGCACACCTCCGGGATCCAGAGGGCACAGACCACGTGTGCCCAGCGCCCATCGTCCGTCTGCTTGAAGGCCCCCCCCCTTGTTCGGGCAGAGGGCACAGTCCACGGCTCGAGAAGGTGACTGCAGGCACCGTCTGCAGAGCCACTGTCCCTCCGGGATGTAGGGCACCCCGTAGCACTCCTGATGCACAGCCAGGTTGCACATGTCGCAGAAGAGGATGACGTTGCTGTTCTGACACTCCCCGTCGTTGCAGATGCAACAGACAGCATCCTCATCCACCAAGGCGTTTGGATCCCCCTTGTTGTGGCTCTCGAAGTAGGACTCCTTCTCCAGCCGGTCCATCAGGTACTCAAAGATCTCCTGGGGAATGGGACTCACGCCTTCGGTCTTCCGCCGCTCGTTCATGATGTCCAGCCAGATGTAATCTTCCTCGTCCATGTCGTACTCCACCTCCTCATCCAGCTCCTCTGCTGACTTCTCAATGTACCTGGAAGGACAGCACAGGAGGGTGAGGGCATGACTGGCGGGGGCTTGGAGCTGCCGAACCCTAACTCCCGCAGGCCGTGGCTGGGGGAACGTTTAAATGCTCCAGTCAAGCCATAAGTCAAAGTAAAAAAACAGGGACAAGGCAGAAATGTGCAGAAGTGGGAGGTACCGCTGCATCCTGAGCAGCACAGCGGCAACACAGCACACTGAGCACAACACAGAGAAAATAACACCTAAGGGGCGAGGTACAGGCCTTGGAGACTCATCAGCACAAGATGGGAGCCTGCACAAGCCACCAAGGAGGTGCCCGATGCTCTGGAGGCAGTGGCCTCGTGCCCAAGACGCAACAGCCAAGAGGCACAGAGGCACCACGTTTCGTTAATTCTGGTGAGGGCAGCTGCGCCTTCTTCTCTTTCACTCCAGGTTGTGGGTCAAGAGATGTTATTTAGAGAGGAAGGAGCTCGAACCCCAAAGCTGCTGCTCCAGCAACTGACAGAAACCACCTCCCGCTATTGCAGCCAACGGCACTGCAGACACCTCAGGGGGAGGGTTTTTTTCTAATGCCCTGACACAAAATAACATCATTATGCCGTCCCTGGAACGCGGTGCCGGCTTCTCAAGGCGCGTGGTGACAAGGGTGGCCACACAAGCCTTTACTTTGGTTCACTGTTAACTCCCCGCTTAAGGTACTGCTTTGGGCCGTCACGCTCACCAAACCACCGGTGGAAAAACCGTAGGGCGACAAAGACACGTTAAGCCCACAAACACACACATCTTACAGGTAAACCCTGGTGCTGGGGGGCTCTAGAGCTATCCCAGAACACCTCTGAAGAGTAGCAGGGAAGGCAGGAAGACGCATTCGGTTTTTCTTATAACTGTACCTGCCATCCCAGCAAGGAAAGAGCGCAGCAATCCAGCTGCTGGCAACGACCTAAGCGGCAACCGGGAGCTCTGCAGGCGCACGGACCCCTCACAACTGGGGTGTGATGCCAGATAGAGCTCTGGGAGCCTGAAGCCACGGGCCAGCCAGCTCCGCAAGACCCCGGAGAGGCAGACAGAGGCTATTTCCATGCACCATGGCCAAGTCAACCGCACAGATTGGGACCAATTCTGCCTCCAGACCCAGCGCACGAGCTAGAGCTGCCTGGATGCCTCCTCGCACCCTGAGCATGGACAATACCTGTAGTAAGAAGTGGGGCGAGGTGGGGCGTCGGGGGTGTCCTGCTCCAGCTCCCGGTACACCACCTCGGGGAGCTTGGGGGTGGTGCCGGCCGAGGCGTTGTGGTGATGGTGGTTGGAATCCTTGCGCTTCTCCTTGTTCTTGTGCTTGCCGGATTTGGGCGGGACGCTCTGGGTCTCCGTGTTCTCCTTATTGCTCCCGTTTTCGGGCGCTTCCTCGGGCACCTCCTCGTCCTCGGACACCACGTCGAGGTTATCGAAGATGCTGATGCGGTGGACGCGGCCGTGCAGGTCCACCTCCACCATGCGCTGGGCCTGGGCGTAGGTCATCACCTCACGGCCCGGCGACTGGGAGGTCTCGGAGGGGCTGGGCGACTGCTTGTTGGCGGCGCGGGCCTGGCGCCCCTTCTTCTTGTGCTTGCGCAGGGGGGTGTGCTGGGGCGGGGGGGGGTTGTCGTGGTCATAGTGGTAGAGGTGGTACTCGATCCCGCTGTAGCTCTTGTAGATCTTGCGGCAGGTGCCCACCGGACACTCGTAAGGGGGTTTGGTGGCCCGCAGGTTGTGGCAGAAGGTCTTCACGTCGAAGTCTACGCCCATGGCGTCGCCCGCCCGAGCGGGGCTGAGGGGGCCCGAGGGGCTGAGGGGCGGGGGGGGGGGGGGGTGAGGCCGAGCCAGGCCGAGCCCCCCGCCCCGCCGCCCCCTCCCCAAGCCCCGGCGGCGGTGCGACCGCCTTCCCCTCCCTCCCTCCCTCCCTCCCTCCGGGCCGCGCTCACCGGCCCCGGGGCCGCGCTCAGCGGGCGGGCGCGGGCGGCGGCGGCTCCATGGGCGGCGGCGGCGGCGGCGGCGGCGGGCCCGGGCCGGGCCGCAACAATGGAGGCTGCGGCGGCGCCTGGCGCGGGGCGGCCGCTGGGTAAAGCGCCGCGCCGCCCTTAGCAACCGCACTTTCGGCACGGCCGGAGCCGGGCGCGGGCGGTGGGACGGAGGCGGCGGGGAGGGGGTGGCGGAAGGGCGGCGGGAGCGGGGGGAGACCCCACCCCCACCCCCACCACCCCCTTCCCTCCGTGGAGGCCGGCGGGGGAGCGGGTCGCCCCCACCGCGGCTGTGGCGAATCTGCCGCCGCGAATCACAGGCACCGCTCGGGAGCCCCGCCCCGGCCCCCCCCCCGCCCCTGTCCCCCCCCCCCCCCCGCCCTCAGTGCCCCCCAGCACGGCGGCAGGCTCGGATGGAGAGGTTTATTTACAGTCGGTAATGGGGTACAGACCGCGCCCGCCCTCCCACCCCGGCACCCCCCCCGGCTGTGGGGCGGGCAGGCCGGCCAGCACCGGGGCACCGGAGCCGGAGAACCGGGGCGCTCGGCCGAGCGGCGAGGTGCAGGCAGGAGCGGGGTGCAGGCAGGAGCGGGGCGAGGGCCCCTGCCCCAAGGAGCTGGCGGGGCTGGGACCCCCGGCATGCACCCAGCCCCAGGCTTGGCCTCCTCCCCGGGGAAGGGAGCCAGGCTGCCCTCTCGGGGCGGGGGGACACACACCGTGGGCCCCCAAGAGCCTGTACCCCGGTGCCGGCCCTGCCCGCGCTGCCGCGGCTGAGGGCTCATTCGGGCCGCGCCAGCCCCGCTGTGCCGGGGCTTTGCCGCTGGCCGGGCAAAAGGAGGGGCGGCTGGGAACGTCCAGCCCCACGGACCCGCCAGAAGAGGGTCCCGGCCCCACGCACCAAATTATTGCCCTCGGGGAGGGGGGGACACACACACATCTCCATGGCTAAACCCTGACCAGCGGCGGAAGAAAGGTGACACGTGTCCTCGCCCCGCCAGCTGGCCCCACGGCCCACGGAGGAGCTACTGGGGGTCTGCCCGGCGAGGCTTGATGTCGCGGGTCTTCATGTAGGAGAGCAGCTGCTCGGGGATCTCTGCCAGCACGTCCTTGGCCAGGCGGGCCATGCTCAGCACCTGGTTCCCCGAGTCGTCCACGTAATCCCGAAACGGCACAAACTTTGAGGGAAAGAAGTTTGAAACCAGGTTGGAAGCAACCCTGTGGCTGCCGGGGGGGGGGGGGGGGTCAGCAAGGGGCTGAGCATCTTGTCCCTGGTGGGACCGGGCTTGATGTTGGCGTTACCTGTACGATGTCCCTCTCGGCGTAGCGTCCCCGGGAAGACACCCGTACCTCGTCACCATCCAGCTCCTCCATGGCTGGGGGGTGACAGCCGGTGTCACTGAGCCTCGGTGGGGTGGCCCTTTGGCATCCCAGAGGAAGGGACAGTGATTCCGTCCCTTTTCTCCAGCGTCCCCAAGCCCCAACTCACCCTCAAATTCAGCCGGACCCACTCCCACGATGATGATGGACATGGGCAAAGCAGAAGCCTGTGGAGCAGAGGCAGGGTGGCAGCCGGGGCGGCACCCGGCGCGGGGTGAACTCACGACGACGAGGGTGCACTCACGGTGACGATGGCTTCTTTGGTCTGCAGCATGTCGGAGATGACGCCGTCGGTGATGATGAGGAGGACGTGGTACTGCGAGCCATCGGTCACCTGGGCAGCCGTTCTGCGGGGACGAGGGATGGGGTCCCTCCAGCAGCCCCACCAGTGTTGAGCAGCCAGCCCTGCTGTGGGACCGGCGGCATTTGGGGACAGCAAAGGGGACAGTGTCCCCCGGTGCTCACCCAGCCACCTGGTTGATGACAGGGGCGAAGTTGGTGGGACCGTAGAGCTGGACGGTGCGCAGACTCTGGAGGTAGGACTCCAGCACGCCCTCGATGCCAGCACAGCTGGGATTGTCCACATTGTTGTTCTGGGGGACAGGGACGGGTGTTTGGAGGGGGACCACAGCTCCCGGTGTGTGTGTGTCCCCCCCAGCTACAGGATGCTGGGGCAGGATGCTTCACCCCCACCGCCAACCTGTTGCGGACACCCCCCCACCCCAGCGTTCCCCTCCCAACCCCAGGGGCGCACCAGGGGGAACTGGTGGGAGATCTTGCCGTCGGGTGGGAGTTTGGCACCGAAGCCGTAGGCGGGGAAGAGCTTGTCGCTGTCATAGTCCTGGATGATCTCCCCCACCGCCTTCAGCGCCAGGGCGTAGGCGCTCAGCTGGTAGGGGCTCGCGTAGTGCAGCGAGGTGGGCTGCGATGGCATCCCTGTGGCACAGCACCCGTTGGCACCTGCCCCGTGGCTGCAGCGATGGGGACCCCCCCACACACACACACCCCCCCCTGCACCGGCTGCACTCACCGTTGGAGGCCGTGAAGTCGATGGCGACGGTGAAATTCAGCTGCGTCCTTGGGGAGGGGGGTGGGGGGAAGAGCGAGGGAGGCTGCCGGCCCCACGGTGCAGGGATGCTGTCTTCTAGCCCCACAGCGCAGCATGTCCTCCCCACCCTGGGACCCGTTGCCTAGGGCCCCCCCATTCCCCAGCCAGCACCCCACAGCCCGGGGCCACTGTCCTGCACCCCCTCCCCAGCCCCACCGCCCCCTCGTCACCCCTGGGCTGAACCTGCACTGTCACCACCATCCTCGCCCCGAGACCCTTGCCCGTGGGAGGTCTCGAGGAGCTGGGGGGCACCTGGCCCCCCACTCACCCGCCCCGGATGTAGTCAACGAAGGTGAACTCGGACTCCACGGAGAAGGAGAGCAGCGTCACCTGTGGGCATGGGGGGGGTCAGATCCAGACACACCCCCCCAACAGGCACAGTGGGGGGGTCAGACCTGTCTCCTCCCCAAGCCGGAGCCCCAGGAGTGCCTTAGCCCACTCACGGTGCCGGAGTTTACGTATTTCTTCTTCTTGCATTTCTTCCTGGGGTTCAGTACCTGTGGGCGCAGGGGTGGGTCAGCCCCGGTGTGGGGTGACCCTCAGCCCCCCCGCTCTCCCTGCCCTACCTCATACACTGTAAACTGGCTCTGTGCCCGGGAGAGCTCCCGGTAGCTGGTGGCAAACTCCCCAATGAAGTCGTGGCTGTGGGAGGAGTGTGAGCTCGGCGTGGCCAGGCACCCTGGTCAGGGGCACCCCGGGAAGCAGCGGTGGCACCTCGGTGTCCCCCACCACCCCACGGGCACGGCCTCACCTCCCATCCCTGTCCCAGTCGTACACGTCTATCTTCACTGTCCTGAAAACGAAGGTGGGCAGAGGGTGAGCTGCCAGCCTGGCTGGTGTGGCCCCTCCCGCCGGCCCCCCTGGTTTGGGGACACTCAGCCCCTGCAGCCCACCCCACAGTGAACACCCTGCCCGCTAGTTGCCAGCGGAGCCGCCCCGCCTGCCCGGCCTGAGTCTCTGCCGGGAGGGAATCGGGAAATTTGGGTCACGGCGGGGGACCTGGAAAGGAGGGGGATGCCTTTATGTAATTTGGGTTGCAGAAGAAGGAAAAAAAAAAAAAAAAAAACAAAAAAACAATAAGGACCCAATTCTGCGCTGGCTGCCACTGCGAGGCCAAACCTGCGACGAGATGCTCATACCCTGCTCTGGCCCCACGGCTGCCCCGTCCCCGTCCCCGTACCGGTCGTAGTCGCCGTTGCAGAGGGCGCGCACAGGGATGGTGAAGGGCTGCCACACCGGGTTGAGCGTGTTCTTCACCACCTCCGTCTTATGGCAGATGGTGAAGCTGCGGGAACAGGGCAGGGTCGGGGTGTGCCGTACGGTGGATGCCGGCACCCTGCCCGCCCCGCCGGGCCCCCGCGCTCACGTGCCATCCTCGTTGCTGCGGTAGAAGACGAGGAAGGGGTCGGATTTTCCAAAGAAGTCCTTCTTGTCCAGCTTGTTGGCACACAGCTGCATCGTGACAATATCCTGGGGATGGGGACTGTCACCGCTGGCCACCTCCTCACCCCTGTCCCCAGCGCCCACCCACACCGGGGGGGGCCGTGGAGCTCTTGCCTCGCTGCTGCTGAGACACGAGCACTCACCCGACAGTTGCTCAGCTCCTCGGCCAGCAACAGGATGGTTCCACACCGCTTCCCTGGGACCCCCCTGGGACCAGAGGTGCCGGGTCAGCTTGGGGACAAGGAGGGTGGGACAGGGGCAGGAGGTGGGGTCGGGGCTCGTGCCCCATGGCTGGTGTTTAGCAGCATGGGGCCGGTGCACCCATCAGGGGATGTGCAGGGAAGGGTCCCATGGGGTGGGTGGCTGGGGACACGGTGTTGGGACCCCCTCCCCTTGCCCCTCCACGGGGTGTGACTCACGTGAGGGCTCTCTCCAGGCGGCCCCGCTGGGACCCGATCACCTCCCCCAGCGCCACGAACGCCTGCCCCAGGAAGTCCTGCACCCCGAGCACATCACCGTGAGACCCTGAGGGCTCCTGACACAGCCCCCCCCCTCCTCATACCAACCCCTCGCCCTCCTGACGCACCCGTGGGACCTGCCACCACCTTGCCATGGGGCCACCCCAAGTGTCCTGAACTCACCGTGTGCCCCAGGAGCCACCCCCCAGCCCAGGACCCATCCTGCACCCCTCAGACCACTCTGCACCCACTCTGCACCCATAAAACTGCATCCGTAAAGCCCCCCCCGTGATGTGTCCTGGCCTCATCCTGCACCCTGCCCCACCAGGCACCCCCACGATGGCCAGGTACCCAGGGAAAAGCAGGGGCTGGTACGTGGTGGGCACCTACCTTCTGCCAGTCCCCACGGGGCACGGAGAGATGGAGAGCGGGTTAGAGCCCTCCAAGGGGCACCTGTCCCCCCCCTGACAGCACCCACACAGGGCACAGCCTCGGGGTGCCCCACTGAGGCGTCACACCGGGGTGTCACCGCGTGCTCCCCCCGCACGGGCTGCGCTCACCTGCTTTAAAATGGAGCAGCTCTTGGAGTCCACGTTGTAGCTGGTGGTGGGAGAGCAGAGCCCTGAGCTGGTGCCCGTGGGGGTGTCCCGGCACACAGCCCCGCTTCCCCACCCATCCAGGCCTTTCGCCACTGTATCCTTATTTATTATCATTATTTATTATCCTTATTTATTACCAACTCAGTGCTTTGTTCCACCCTGAGCAGGGCCAAGCCCTTCCCTGGCCACCCTACTCACACGTCGAAGCGGAGGTTTTGCTTCTCCTCGAAATAGTAGTCGAGGACGAACTTGCGGACAAAGTCGGGGTTCAGGGTGTTGTCGATCACCTCGGTGCGCCCGAACTGCAGGGAGATGGGTGAGGGTGGGCCCCCCGTGGGCCCCCCTGGGACCTCTCCCCATCACAGCTGCCCTGGCACTAATCCTGGTGGGGGATTAGTGCTACTGGCAGGGCCGGATCATTAGTGAGGACTTGGAGGGATCATTAGTGTGGACATGGGTGGCCATATGGGCCTGTTTAACCCAGCTGGGGATTAGCCAGGAGCGGGGGCACTGGGGGTGGCAGCACCCCCGGCACAGGGCTGGGAGCCTCCCCAGGAACCCGGCGAAAGGGGCTGCGCTCACCTCCTTCCACTCGCTGCTCCCCGAGCCCTGCACGAAGAGGACCACCACTGTGGAGAGAGGAGCCGATCTGGGCTGCTGTGCCGTGCTGTGCCCGTGCTGTGCCATGCTGTGCCCCCTTCCCAGCCCCACCACCCACCTGGGTCAGACTTGGAGAAGGTGTCCATGTCCAGCAGGTTCCTGGGGGGACGGAGCCAGGCGTGAGCCACCCTGGGTGCCACCCACCCAGCCCTGCAGTGTCCCTATGTCCTCTCCCCGATCACGGGATGGCACCGTGCCAGAAGACTGTGCTGGCACCCAGGACAAAACGCCCTGGCACCCTGGGGGTGACACATTGGCTCCCACCGCAAGGTTTGGCGGGACAGCGGGGCGAGTGGGGAGCAGCGTCTGCAGCGCTGACAATGATTGAACACGACAGGGAACCCATTTAGAGGATGAAACCTTCCCCTGTGCCGCCGGCACCGACTGAGTGCCCGCCGCACCCCGGCAGTGGGATGGCAGCTAATGGCAGGGCACAGAAGTGAGAAGAAAGGAGACACTTAGAGCAGGGGCTGGGCAGCTGCTGGGGACCAGCTCTGCACCCCCAACACAGCCACCGGCAGAGCCACCGCTCGCTGGCCTTTGCACGGTGTGACACCGGAAAGTGCCAGGGGCTGCAACCGGCTCTGCTGGGATCATTCCTGCACCCCTGGGGTGGCCACACAGGGTGGGCTGGGGCATGGCCGGGGGCTGCGGAGCTCAGCCAGCTCCCCTGACCCCAGCATGTAGCGGTGAGACCCCCCCCCCCCTTCCCCTTGGGCTCCCCAGCAGTGCTGGATGGGGCTGAGCCCTCGGGGGGCTGCAAAGCTGAAGCCCCTGCCCTGTGCTGTCTCCAGGAGTGAACCCCAACCTCTGCCCGGAGCTGCCAGGCCCCACGACCACGCAGCCTCACTGCCCGTTGCCCAGAGGGACTGGCAGGGAGGGGGCACGACAGTCCCTGGCCCAGAGTGGAGTTTGCAGGGCTCGGGGTGGGGTGTGTGTGTGTGTGTCAGCTGCAAGTCTGCCCTGACCCCCCAGCATGGGGGATGCTGCTGCCCAGGAGGTCGCTGGTGCCGGTGCCTGCGGGCAGGACCCCCCAGCTGCGGGCAGCGAGGGCAGCGGTGCCTCTGCCGGGCTATATTTAGCCACCGACAGATTGGCTCAGCAGCCACTGCTTGCCCCGCGGACCTCACCGGTAGCCAGAGGCACCGAGCAGCACCTCCTCGCAGCCCCCATCCCGCCACGGGCCAAGACTGACCCCACTCCTGGCCCTGCTGCCTCCCACGGGGCTCGCAGAGCCGGGCAGCCTGCCTGCAGCCAGCACCGCCACCCCACGCCCCGCCAGCATCGCCTCGAGTGGGGCTGTCCCGCGCCCCAGCCCTGGGTAAGAGCAGCGGGTCCCTCCAAGCAGCCGCGCCGCCGAGCCGTGCCCGGTGCCAGCATCCCACGGGGACCCCACGGAGCGGACGGGACCGCTCCCCACGGGGGGCAGCCGGGCCGAGGGGCGTTGGAACACACACCGCGACACCGAGCAGCAGCACCCGGGGGAGCGAGGGGAAACCCGCAGCCCACCCCGCGCCGCCGCGGAGCTGACCGGCGGGCAGCGGGATGCTCTGCGGGACACCCCGCAGCGTTTCGCACCCCCCCCCCACCGCCGCCTCCCCCGCCCCGCTCCCGGCTCACCGGCAGGACACGGTGAGCTCCACCTTGGTGCCCGGCACGGTGCCGGCCGCCGGCTCCAGCGCTCCCGGAGACGCCATCCCCGCCCGGGCGCCGCCGCTGCTCCGCGCCGCCTCCTCCCGCGCCGCCGAGGCGGGCGCGCCCGGGGGCGGGCACGGCACAGGCACGGGCACGGCGGCCCCAGCGCCGCCCCGGGCACCGGGGGGGTGGGCTCAGCACCGGGGACTGCCCCGACCCGCCACGGCTCGGCCCCGGGGAGCGGCGGGGGGGCTCGTCCCTCCCGACCCCACCGGGACCCGCCGTCCGGGGCTGCGGACTCACCACCGGCTTCCCCCCCCCCCCACTCCGGTGTGGTGGTTGCTCAGCCCCGACTCCCGCCCCGCCCGGGGCTCCCTCCCGGTCCCGGCTCGGTGCTATTTCAGTGCCGCCGCTCCCGGAGCGTGGGCCGGGTTATTTATAACAAGCGGCACCACCGGCTCTCCCCCCGCCCCCGCCCCCGCCGCCCCCCGGCTCAGCCCCGTTGCCCTCCCCCTCCCCGCCCGCAGCCCAGGCAGGAGGCAGCAGAGGCCACAGCTCGGGGTGTCTTTACTGCAGAGATTTGTCGGAGCTCCCCCGGCCCCAGGCAGGGGCGGGCGGCAGCAGGCGGTGGGCGCCCACACGGGGAAGGGGGGTCCCGAGGATCTGGCCAGGGGGACCCGGCAGCCTCGGTTCTCCCGCCAGCGGTCCGGGAAGGCCACGTTCAGAGTGTGCTGCTGCCTCTCAGTCCCACGCCCCGCACGAACTGCTCGAGGAGGCCGCCGATGGCCCCCGAGGGGCTGGGGGGCACAGCCTTCAGGCCGATGGTCCGGCTGTAGCTGGCCAGAAAGGCGGAACGCACTTCTTCCAGCCGGGACTCGCGGTCGCTTGCCGACACCACCCTAGGAGACAGAAGAGGGAGGTCAGCACCTACAGCCATCCCTCTCCCCATCCCAGCTCTCGCTCCTGATGTGGGGCAGGACGGTGGCAGCAGGGCTGGGGCTCCGGCCACTGGTCCCAGTGGCTGAGGCAGCACCAGCTCCAAAAGGCTCCAGCTCCAGCAGCTCCTTGCCCAAAGCAACACTCTCTCCTGGAACCTCTCGCAGCCTCAGCCTCCTGCTCTCCCCTTGGTCTCCTCCTTCATCCCCCCCACCCTGTTTCTCCCCACGCCCCGGTGCTGACGAGGCCGTGGTTCATACAGAAAGTGCTGCTTTCGCCAAGGGGGTGCCGGCTGCTGTCAGCCCCTGTGCCAGCTCCCTCCTCTCCTCACACAGCCCTTCCCTCTGGAGCCTGTCCACATGTGCCGTGCCCAGACAGTCGCTTCCAACCTATCTGTGACTGTCCCTCACTTCCACCCGCCCCAGCCTCTCACGCATGTGCCAGCACAGACAGCTGTGGGGAAGGAGAGGGGGCAGACAAGGTGACAAAAGCCCCCAGGAGCACTCCAGCCATAGAAAGAGAAGAGCTGAGCAGCATTTTACTTCTGCTCCCTGGCACGGCTGCTCTCTGCAAGCAGGAGGGCTGCCCACAGAGTAGGGCACGGCTTCCCCCGGGACCCGCTTTCCTCTCCAGCTGATCCACGCAGCTGGTTAGGGCCGGGGAAGAAAGCAGAGGGCAGGCGATATTTCAGCCGAGGGAGCAGGGGAAAGGAAGATGAGGGTTCAGTGGCAGCTCTTCCAAGAGCTCTGGCCTCAGACGGTCCTTGCTGCAGCGCCTCTGCGACGTGCCGGTGGTTCCCAGAGAGAATAAGACATTCCTCAAAGGTCACTCCAAGGGCACAGCGCAAACCTTCCCCATAAAAAATTCTCTTTAATCTCTCCAGCGCCTGGGCTGGCTATAAATTGGCACAGCTCATTTGAATGGAAGTGTTAACCACCCACAGCCAACAGCTTCGGTCCGGAAACAGCAGCAAGAGGATATGGTGGGAGGCCTATAAACAGCAAGCGATGCCGAGGCAGCCAATCGGGCCGCTGTTTACAGTGTCTGATAATAAAGAGAAGCCAGAGGGCAAAGGAAAAAGGCAACATACCTAAACACATTAAAAAGATGCTTTTTGGCAACCTAATTAGGACGTGGAACTCGCAAACCTGCTAGCATTAAAAATAAGCTACATGAAAGCAGGACTTACTTGCACCCGAGTACAGTGATCTTACGTGTCACATGCAGAGGTAAGCGAGGGCGTGCAGCAGTTAGGTCCTGCATCTTCTGGATCTCGCACCTCTTCTCAGGGCAAATTTTGTATTTAGATGTTTCTTTCATGGAGTAAGATGCTCCAAAGCACGGGGTCAAGCGGCCAGCCCCTGCCTGACACCAAGCCCTGCAGACCAGCTGCACCACTTTGCTCCGAGCGGTTCAACCAGGGAGGTGGGTTGCACTTCCCTGCCAAATCCACTCTGCCCTGCTCCACTTCCTAAGCTTGTCCTCTCGTCTGCAGCTTGGGGTGCAGGATGAGAGGAGGCTGTCAAAGCCCAAGCTCTAAGTAAGCCCTGACAAGCCCCACACAAGCACAAGGAAGTAGGCTGTGAAGAGCGTACCTTCATCGAGCTGCTGCCAGCTGAGATGTAAAGTGGGAACTTAAATGGAATTTAATTTTCCAAAAACTCATACTGTGCTGGGCTGCAAAAAACTGGGAAAAACCCACAATAGGCTCCTGAGCAAACAGCCAATGCATAGCAGAGAGAGAGTGGAAGCCCTGGGTTACATTCAGCACAACATCCTTGAGAACTCTTCATCCCTTCCACACAGCTCCTGGTCACAGCACCCGCAGTCAAGGGGTCCCCAGCCCCTGAGCACCCCACAGCCCCAGTGAAGAGCTGAAGAGGGCAGAGCACTCGCAGCACCTGCTGCACACCCAAGGGAGAAGCACAACCGCTGTTCCCCTTCCTCCAAACCCAGCTGTCCCAAGCAGCTGGACTCCAAACCACATGAGCCCATGGTCTCAGCCCAGGCAGATTCAGAGCTCAACTTCAATTCACATCTCTCTACTGAATTCCCTATTCTGATGTTAGATCCAACTCCAAGGGCAGCAACGACTCGCGGGTGATCAGCAGCCACCAAGCACAGCCAGGTTCAGGGCACAGTAAAGCAGTCACGAATTCAGATGCCCATTCTTCAGTCCCTTTTGCTCCCTCACCCATCCCCAAACAACTGCAGGAACAGCTCAGCGTGTCCTCATGAAAGGAGGGGAGTAAATCCCAGCCAAGCCATGTCCGACATCTCTTGTGACTTTTTTTGGTCTGCCAATTCACAGGTCTTGCAGCTTCACCGTAACTAGGGGGCAGCTGCTCTGCTCAGCGGCACAGCACACAGTCCCATGAGAAGGCGAGCTGGGGCAGCTAGCCGGTCTCACAGGAGACACTGGTTTTCATGTTGCTTGCCCTCTGCCTCCAGAGCACGCAGTCGGATCTCAGTCAGGGCCCGCAAGTGTTTGGCAGCACAACTCTAGCACAGCTAGCTAGCAGCAGCCCCTGATCTGCTGTTTCAGTTTATTGATTGAGAGTTTGCAGCCTGAAGGCGCAAGCCGAGGTTCTCCTCTAAGAGCAATTAAATCGCATCTCCTGTCTTTCAAGCTTCCACAGAGGTGGCTTTCTATTTGGGGAGGAATGTTTGCCTCCCAGCCATTTTACATGGAAGGATGCGGCAGGATGCGGGGCCTCTGATGCTCTGCACAGGCCAGAGAGAGCACCTGCTGCGTGTGGTCAGACAAAATCGGGGTTACAAAAGGAAAGCCCCTCTCTTACTGCAGCAAGGATCTGACCCCAGTGGGGAGATGGAGCTGAGCAAGATCCAAAAGCAAGAAAATCTGGGTTACCAACCCTGTCCTGACAAGCATGCATCCTCAAATGCACTCAATTATGCACAAATTCAGTGCCTTCAGGGAAGAGAAAAGCCTCTTCCATCTACAGAAAGCAAAGTGCCCCCCCCCCCCCCCCATCACTAGTCAAAGAAAATACTATTTTCTTTCTGAGTTCAGCATAAGCAGAGTGGTCAGTGACTGAATTTGCGGATGGAAAGCATCAAGGCAGAGAAGACGGGACAGTTTGTTATGGGCTCCCAGTATTCTTCAGAAGTGCCAGGGCGATAAAGTTCCAGCGCTCACAGCCAGCCGAGAGACCCAAGGAGAGATCCTGTGTTTGAGACACTTACAGGCAAGTGCTAGGGAACTCATCCGGGAAGCTGCAAGGGAGAGAGGCGTCTGCGCTCAGTATTGCCTGCTCCCGAATACTGCCACACCCTGTCACCATCTGCCAGCTGCCAAAGTCTGTGGAAACGGAAGATCCGGGCAGAGAATGGTCCGCCGATCTGGGGCAGAGAGAGAGGGAGACGGCGCGATCAGTCAGGTCATTCAGCCACACGCCTTTCACTAACGCTGGTGCCAGGGGCCCGCCGGGCTGGCCGCCAGCAGCGCCTGTGCCAGCAGCTTTGACACTCGGGGACCAGGGTGCAACATGCAGCTCCGGCTGGGCCCCAGGCCAAGCCTTTCCTTTGAAAGCAAGGGGAGAGCAGAGCTGGCTGGGGCTGACAAAGCAGCAGGAGCGCACCGGGAGCCGGACAGGATAAAGCCAGCAAGCAGCAGATGGCCATGCAGAACTGTGAAACCCGTTAGCGAGATGCAACAGCACGTCCTGCCCTGAATCCCTCACAGACGCAGACGCCGCGCCATACAAGGGGCATCCCCCTGTTGCTTGTTGTAGCTGTCAGCACATCCCAGGGCAGCAGCAAGGCCTCGCGGAGAATCAAGGTTGTGACTTGGTTAGTGCTGAGAAAGACTTAGGGATCCTTGGTCTGACAGCCATTAGAAAGCAGATCACTCCGGAGGCATTAACACCAGATCTGAACAGTCAGTCACTGCTCAAGATGTCCCCAGGGCATACACGTCTCCCAGCATCTGAAGATCTTTTCATTCCTGTGTTAGAATGGACTGCACCAGAAAGCAGGCGGCACAACATCTTTAGGACAGGAAAAATAGCCAAGGGAGGATAATTGTTGGATGTATGCAACCTCCCATCAGGAAAGGAGGAAGCATGAAATCCGCTAAGTGAATCTGAGGAGTCCCTCCAAAATCTCAAACAAGAGAGCACAATCAATTGAGACGAACCCAGAGCTCTTGGCTTCCCAGGAGCAAGCAA